CTTTATTGTAATATATACCTAACGAATGAATATTCGTATTCCATTCGAAAAAATTTTCTAATGTCTTAACTATACTTCACAATTTAGTCTAGAGCTGCTATATTGAAAGTTTCCTCATAGAATACATGTCAGCCATTGACTTTGCTTGTGTTTCAACCGGAATCAAATCATGCAGCTTTCACCTGAAATAACTTTTGCAATTTTATATTTAAATGTAACTCACTCTTTAGTCACCAATTTGTGCCCGATAAGACGGTGGTCCTTGCCATTAATCGCACCCGTTAGTCTTCTGCGCGCGCCTCTTCAAGTACACGCTGCCTTTTACTCGATACTTTGTATTAACCTTTGAAACTCATAAAATGCAACTAGGGTAATTCTCAGCCGGCATGTCGCGCGCCTTTGAAGGCCAGTTAGCTGGAATTGATAGGCAGGAATTGTGTCTTGCGGAATCAAACCCGCGACGTCATCGAAATAAGATATGAGCAACGAAGAGCACTAACCTTTCGGCCAACTCTGTCTTTGTTTTGCTTGATATGAGCCGAGAGCACACTCTCTACGTTATTTTTGTAGGGTACCCGAGGGCATCTGCCCTCTTCCTGTTTTCTGCAAATAATGCTGGCAAGTCGTATATCATAATGAAGTTTTTCAAACATATTTGTGGGAAATGGCGCAACATTCACTGTTTCAAAATATGTCAATAAAATTTTGAAGAACCGTGTTTTTGTTTCCCTGCTTCTTATGTCAAATCAAACATTTTAACGCAGTGTTTCTCCAGTTTGATAGATAAATTTATCCGCATTGAACAACTACGCAACTCTCCGAGGTTGCACCTAGGAAAATTTTTAAAGGGCGTAAGTAATTTGGTAATGCATCAATCAGTAGGTTCGACATTGCTGGATTCCGCCGCGTTGAAATATGTATATTGTTCACAAATTGCTGCTTGCGAAGCGACGCCTACCTCAACTTGAAAACCACGAGAAAATTTTTAAGAAATGATCAATTGATGCATATCTTGTGCTACTAACCGTGCAATGATTATGGTCCCATTATGCATGTAGAATCATATTTTGCAGCTTATGGCCCTCAAAGTGCATATATAAGCGCTACTGT